AGTTGTCGGCACATTCTATCAACTTTGATGGCATCGGATGCCCCCATCTTTACTTTCAATGCAAAGTGATCTTCATGTCTTTGTGAAGAGAATTCTCATCCTTGGTATGACTATATCTATCTCTTGAGGGAATATATTGGCCTTCGCTTCTTTAAAGGAAGTCTGCAATCAACTTCAAATTTCTTCCTTCATCGTATTCCATTCTTCATAGATCGTTTAAACATCTTTGGATCTCCCAGTTTTGACTACATGATTAAGAATTTCTTGTCTCATTATGAACAACCTTCTTATTAGTCAATCACTTGCGAATTAACACCTTTGGATGACATGAATATGCAAATGCAATCCGATATTGATTCCAAAATAACTTAGTTTATATAAAAAGTACTCAACAACACACAACGTCTAAGCACTTAGGCAAAGAGAATACATCAACATGGAAATTAAGCGTAGAATCTTGCCTCATTCGCTAATCTCTCAAACTCTATCATCAATCCCATGATACGCCGTTCTTCCTCTGATTCGTCGATGACATCTCTGTGTTGTAACTTCTATCTCAACAATCTTGGCTTTTAAGGCCTCATTTTCCTGTCTGGCCATCTATTGTGCGGATGAGTGGATCAACCCTACTCCTTCTAGCTCCATTATCCTCTTCTTTAACATCTCAATTTCTTTTTGAAGATAGAACTCATTGTTGTTGTAAGGGTTCTGAAAAGTCTCATCCAAACTAAACAGATGTGCTTCGAGCTGCTCAATCTGTGCTCGCCTCTGCGCCAATTCCTAATTAGCCTCATCTATTTGCTCTTTCAGTGCTCGGATAATTACTTTCTCTAGCAAAACTGATTCTTCGGTAGTGACAAGGTTGTCTCTGAATTGCGTCTGCCTGTACTCGAATCAGGTCTGAACACTGATTGCATTCTCAGTCCTATCGGAAGACATTGCTGCCTTAAGCTCTTTTTATAATAACTAGGTAATCTGGGAATCAATACTGTTTATGAAATGATATGACATGACAATGATACATGCAAAAATGCAATAAGAGAGTACAAAAGAAAATCAATGTTAGTAGAAACAAGATAACAAGAATCAAGTTAGTTTGAATGATTAGTCAAAAAAGATATAATCTTAAATATGACTTAAAGTTGAGACTAAAAAATAAAGCATACAAAGGAAATTAATGGTCCTAACCGCATGTGTTCTAGTTCTCCTAGGTTATCCATATGACTCTAGCGGGGTAGGCTTACTAAATTCTCTATATGAAGCTGGGTTCTAGTAAAGAGTTCTCAAGCCATTTTTACAACCTGCTAAGGTTACCCCCGATTCTGGCCCATTACAGACTTGCGAATCGAGTTCAGCTCAGGGGATCACACCACTAAAAGCGTACCTCAGAACTGATATTCGGATAGGCAACTTAGTGTGCTTTCAATAGATACTTTGTCAAACCCACACAAGGAAGCCCAATGTTCCTCGTGAGATGTGACGTTTCTCCCTACTTAGGTAAATTGGGTTTGAGCTCGGGTTCAGAGCTATGATATGCAACAATCCTAAATAATTCCACAAAAGTGTAAGCATTAACCAGAGAGAAATATGTTTTTTTCTTTTTTGAAATAACATAATGAACCGTAAATTAAACAAGATCGAACTCGTAATTTTCAAATAATAAATATAGGGTAACCAACTCGTGGCTCGGCTCTCAATTTGTTTAAAAAACAACAATCCCCAGCGGAGTCGCCAAACTGTCGTAACCGTTTTTTTGGCCCGGGCGGGGAAAAACCGATACCGACGGGGTTTTCTCTTTGAAAATCATTTTGAAAGGTGAGGAGTCGCCACCAATCATTTGAGGTGCAATCGGAACACCATAAAAATCGGATGATTTTAATAAAACATTTTGTTTTTATCAAAATATCGAATGTTGAGGTCTGCGAAAATCTAGAAATCAGGTTCAGAAGTCGATTACGCGTGGGGAATGATTAGCACCCCCATAAGCGCCCAAAAATTGGTACCTAGTTGATTACTCTATATTTAAAATCGGAAATTTGGAGTTCGATCTTTATTTAATTTAAAAATCATTAAGGATGCAAAGTTAGAAAGTGTATTCGTTTATCTAGACCGATAGCATTCGCCCCCGAGTGTAAATACGGGAGATCAACTATTGTGCCTAATAACCGAATATTGTCTCATTTTTAGAAAACATGATGTGGTTTTGAAAAAGGATGTTGACTTATTCAAGGAATTACCAGTAGTCACCCCCTGAGCACGATCGCGGGAGATATACTATTAATTCATTAATAAGTAAACAATGCCTTAGATTTGTAAAAACAATGCAATCAAACAAAATTTTATTAGTCCTAATTAAACTAAAAATAAATTAAGGATTTTTCTAACTTAAAGTGTCAAATTATCAAAATTAAAGAACCTAGGGGCTCATATCTAAAATGTAAGTTCTAGTATTAATACTTAATGCTATATATTAAAATGGATTAACTATTCACGTATTAGAAAGTTTCTTTTGATAATTTTAAAATGATCGAATATTACCCTTAGTCAATTTATATCGATTCGAGTCAAGTGATGCTTATGAGGATTATTAATGATATTTTGTCCCCTCCACTTTGTTGTTTGTTGATGGAATCTTATTTTTGCAGGGTGTCGGTGACTTGGTGTTGTGGAGTAGGGTATGAGCTCACTCGTGGGATATAGGAATTGGCAAGACCAATGCAGCTTAATCAATTAGCTGCTGGAATCTTTATTGGGGCATGGCATTTGCAGCACTTGGTCAACATGAGAGGCATGATTGAAGCGAGGGTACAGGAGCAGCAGAGTATGGGCGTTGCTCGGGTCCGGGTCGAGTTGACTATTGGTCCAGGATAGGTCGGATCCAGAGCAACTGGTCCAGATCTGCTGTTGGGTATGCTGAGTTTTGGGGAACTTGTAATCTGGGCTCTGGGATTTGCTGGGCTTCTGAGTAATCATGTAATTGGGCTGCTGGGATGAGGCCTGTATTTGTAATATGTAAAAAAATTATATTAATAATAATAATATTAATAATAATTATAATGATATATTAAAAGACATGACGAAAAATGAGTGACGACAAGTGGGATAAGTCACTTTCGGTGCACATGCAATTCGGTGGCTTTCGGTGCACTTAGTTGAAATTGTTGAATTTTATAAATGGTAAAATTGCTAAATTTAGTCACTAGACTTTAGGGTATTTACAAGATTAGTCCTTAAGCTTCAACTATAAATACCATAACTCATTTAGCTTCAAAATCAACCCAAATCATTTTAACTTTCTCCCAATACTTGAGAATTTAGAGAGTTTTCTTGAGAGTTTTTTTCTCCTTTTTATCAAGAGAGAATTGTTATTGTTTTCTCCTTGTTAAATTGATAGAAGTTGTAATTCTTATTTTTTTCATAGTGAAATTCTTCTACCGTTGCCCGTGGTTTTTACCCTATATTATTTAGGGATTTTCCACGTAAAATTTGTGTCTTCTTTATCTTCATTTTTATTTTATCAAATTATTAATTACGATTTTACTCTATCCGATAGTCGTATTCTGCGACAGCAACAACAATTGTTCCAAATATTGAGATAGATCTTGTCGTCTTGATTTGATTGTGTGGTGATGAGAGCCTGATAGCTCACGTTTAGTTAAATAATAGCATATTGGCATTTACGATACGATTTATGGGACGTTAAATGGGACTCGTGGAAAAATGGCATCCAGCGGTGGTGCCTTGCGTGATGATAACGGTTATTGGATTCGAGGCTACACTAGGAAGATAAACCGCTGCTCGGTGATACATGCGGAGCTCTGAGCGCTCCTAGACGGTTTGCAAGTGGTCTGAGATTGTGGTGTCCGTCACCTGACTGTGGAGATTGACAGTATGGCAGCTGCCCGTAGCCTTAACTCTCCCTCCCCGTTGCATGAATCTGCCTTCCTCAAACGAATTCGTAGCTATTTTAATCGGGATTGGAGACTTGCGATAACTCATATTCCTTGGGAAGCTAACAATCTTGCAGACAAAATGGCTAACAGCGGTCAAGGTGTCCAGGGACTGTCGGTGCTTTACCAACTGCATATTGAGGTTTAGAGTATTATTAATACTGATATAGACTCCTTGAGAAGACGAAACTCTCACTGTTAGCACAGTGGCTTTTATTTGTAAACCAAAAAAAAATTGACTTGTGGAAGTTTGTTTGGGACTTTGATGGATGATATATTTTTTAAACAATTTATATTTAGAAGAGGAAAACGATAATCTTGTTCTTCATGAATATTAAATCATAATTTAAAGGAAATGAAATGTTTTAACTAATAACTTTCAATCACATACTTTAGAAACCATTAATGATGTACATCGACATATTAAACATTTTATTTGAACGTTTTTGAGAAATTGATAGATTGAACATCCCTTAGTCTTTCATGAATTAGATAAAAGCAATCATTTTCACTATTCTACTTCGGGTAACTCGAGTTCATGCATTAAGGAAGGAATCTAATTGACATTGCCCACTAAATAATTTGGTGAATCTTAATGTTGTGAGGGTTTTCTCGTAGCTACACGGACTGTTAATGTTATAAACGGGTAATTCAGTGCGTGATCATACATAGTTTATACTAATTTATAATTTATTATTTCATAATATTTATAAATTTTATTTATTTATTTATTAATAATTTTACTTTTTTAAAAATAAATAAACTTTTAATTTATTTTAAAAATAAATTATTCTTTTAAATTTTATAAAAAAATAATTAATTTCATTTATCATATCATCATTGATATTTATATTATCACATCATTACACGAATACTTGGACGGTCAGCAATAATTTATGTAAGTAAAAAAAACATAATAATTAAAATTTTAAAAATTAACTGGGTGAAAAATCAATTTCAACCAAAGTTTGAAGCCTCATCAACCATTAATCCTTTTAAAAACCTGTATGAGCCCAGACCCAAATAATGCAGCCACGCTATCTGCAAATGCAGCCGAGCTAGCCGAGTGCTGAACAACGGTTAAAGCTTTTGCCGAAAATGCCTCCACTTCCTTCTCCGCTGCTGAATCCGCGCCTAAGTTTGTCGCTAAAACCTTTGCTCATTTTCTCTCAATCCTCTCTAGCACCTCGGGAATTTCAAATCCCGAGGCAATTAGTCTCCGTTAAGCGTAGAACCTTCTCTTCCTTAGCTTCGGAGCACTCATCTGACAATCGCGGCAGGAGCGGCGGAGGAGGCAGGTCCGGCGCTCTATCTCCGTCTCCAGTGGCAGAGGAGATTCAGAGGATTGACGTGAATCCACCTAAAGGGACTCGCGACTTCCCTCCTGAAGATATGCGACTCCGTAAATGGTTATTTAACCATTTCAGAGAGGTTAGTAACCGTTAGTTTCCGATTTTTCCAATTGTTTGCTCGATGATATTATTTTATTTGATTTGACGATTTTTTTATGTTATTGAAGGTTTCGCGGTTGTTTGGATTCGAAGAGGTTGATTATCCGGTGCTAGAATCAGAGGCTCTGTTCATTCGGAAGGCAGGGGAAGAGATTAGAGATCAGGTTTCCTCTCTTTCTATATATTTCGTTAATTAAGGAACATAGTTGATTGGATTAGTATTTAAATTTAAAATGAGGTGAAAGATAACATTCTAGCATACATGACACCAGATATTCATTAAATAGTGTAATTTGTTTGAACACTTATAATTACTCACGGAACTAAGATGGTTAATATATTTCACCGGGGACACTTGCAATATAAGTTTAAAAACGTGTGCCTGTAGTAACATTTAACCACATGGGAGAAAAAGTATTAAGAGTATGCACTATATGAATGCTTGATATTTGCTGGTGGTTTGTTTATATTTTGCTTTGTTTTAGACTATGTTCTCAACACCGGTTCTAATTTTCCATTTCTATGTGCAGTTGTATTGTTTTGAAGATCGGGGAAATCGTCGTGTTGCATTGAGGCCTGAGCTCACACCTTCTCTAGCAAGGCTAGTGATTCAGAAAGGGTATGAAAAATGTTCGGTGTTTATTTATTTATGTATTATTTTTTATCCCGGAACATATTGAAGAACTTGATCTTACAGTTATTTTTATTATTGTTGTTATTTTTGGTTCAGAAAATCTTTATCCCTCCCATTGAAGTGGTTTGCTATTGGTCAGTGTTGGAGGTATGAGAGAATGACAAGGGGCCGCCGCCGTGAGCATTATCAATGGAATATGGATATCCTTGGTGTACCTGAAGTTACTGTATGTGATGCCAACATGACTTGTTTATGCACTATTAAGCTTCTGCAGATGCTATTTTTCATTATCAGTTTGTTGATATGACCTTTTATTTAACCATTGCTGTAATTATAGTTCATATAACCCCTGTAGGACATCAATGGCAGTATCCTAATTGTTTCATAAACTTGGACACTATTTTACCCAGTCTCCTGCTCACACGTGCTTATCTGCTAGTAATGTGCAGAAATTCCTCCTATTTTTTGAATACTCACACTAGTGAAATTTTAGGTTGTTTCACATATGCGTACCAACCAGACAGTTGATTGTTAATCCGAGCACATGGATCCAACTCTTTTAATAAATAAATTGTTTAAACAGTGCACATGTATGATTCTGTTGGGATCCTTCATTCATTTTCTAGTTATCTAGATTTTAATTTTTTGTTTGTAGGCTGAGGCAGAACTTATTGCCTCCATTGTCACTTTCTTCAAGAGAACTGGAATCACAGAATCAGATGTTGGCTTTAAGGTGTCAAGCCGAAAGGTATGTTCATCCATGAAATGGGCCATTTGAGGTCTTTCATGGCTTGCACATTCTTGAATACATTCATTGTTATGGTTGTAAAAGCTGTATCTGTTGATGTCTTTGTCCTTGCTGAATGTTTCACTTTCTGTGAAAATGAAACATTCACTCACTGTTTATTATATGTTCCGAGATTGTAATTCATATCACACAGGTCTTGCAAGAAGTTTTGAGATGCTACTCAGTACCTGAAAATTTATTTGGCAAGGTTTGCATCGTCATAGACAAGGTTAGCTTATGAAAATGAACTATTTCTGATCTCTTAAATACCGGGTTTTATTCTTTTAGTCATGTACTAGGTTTTTGTAAGTGGTAAAACATTCTGGTATTCCAATTATTATTCTTACTACTACTATTTGGCTTGAGAGGAACATTGCAATTGCTGGATTATATTTTCTCCTCTCTCTGGTTCCTTTATTCATGCAGCTGTTAATTATTTAATTTAGTTTCCTTGTTCCTGAAATAGATTGAAAAGATCCCAATAGATGAAATTAAGAGAGAGTTGAACGTTACTGGGTTATCAGAAGAGGCTATTGAGGAATTATTTCAAGTCCTTTCCATAAAGTCATTGACTAAGTTGGAAGGTTGGTTTTCCACATGTTATTCGATATTTAGTTTCTTTCATCAAAGGAAAATCTGGGTATATCCTTCCTGTCCCAACCTCTCACAGAGAGAGAAGAAGTAGAAAGAAAGAAAGAAAGGGTAGGGTAAAAAGTCAACAAGTCACAGGTTACTCTACACGAATTTGCTTAGATTAAATCCTTTCTTAGCTATGGGGCTAGCTTCAGTGTGCCCGTTTTCTATAAAGACTTGTATAACCAATATGAAAAAAATGGAAGAGTATCACCATCTCAAACAAAGAGAAAAAGAATAACAGCTGTCTAATGCCCAATTTTCTCAAGATTGTAGCAAATATTTGAAATTAAATCATTGCCTTCAGATTCCCTCAAACAAGTTTATGTGTCCACGATAAAAGGTTCAAATGGAAATCTGACTGTAAATCATTCAGATATTCTTGAAAAATGTCACAATCTTTTAATTCTAATTGTGTGCCATATTCTTTGTAAATGTAGAGATACTTGGAGGTGCTGGGGAAGCTATTGCCGACTTGAAACAACTATTTTCACTTGCTGAGAAGTTTGGCTGCTCCGAGTGGATTCAGTTTGATGCATCAGTTGTTCGTGGTCTTGCTTACTACACGGGTATTATTTTTGAGGTTAGATTTATCATATAGTTTTCCCTTCATTGATATTGATATAGAGTGTGGGTACTTACATAAGAAATTGAATTTGAAAGGACAATTCATGTTTACTTCTCCGATGTCTACTTGTGTGGGTCTGATGGCAATATATTGTTACTGCTAATAAACTAGATTGGTTTAACTTTTATGGGAGTTGACTTGTAGCGTATTTCTCTAAGGGCTAGAAGTCTTATGACATATTGAAGACTTTGATGGAATTTGAGTAGACTTATAGTTAGTCTTTCAAATTGGCAGACATTATGATTATGGAACAGCACCCTGCTCCTCAAAGAAATTATCCAAACTGTGTCAATAGCATTAAGTTTGCCTATGAGTATCTGAGGTGTTCATTTGCCCTTGGCCTGTAGTATCGGGTGTAAGCATGAAAAGTCCTGTTTTTTCTTTCAATCATTCAGTTGTTTTGTGAAAAAATTAAAAGCTTTTTACCGTATTTAATATAGATTTATCTGCTATCATTCCTCCTTTTGAACTTTCAGTTTGACAAATTTTTTTCAGTGTTTTGACAGAGACGGAAAGCTGAGAGCTATTTGTGGTGGCGGGCGATATGATCGATTACTTTCTACTTTTGGCGGGGACAATGTTCCAGCTTGTGGCTTTGGGTTTGGTGATGCTGTCATTGTTGAAGTAAGTTAAAGTCTAATGAATCAATGTTTATGTCATATGCAAATAATTTGGTACTCCCAACAATATCAAGGATCATTATGGTATGACAAGTCATGTTACTCGTGTATATGTGTGTGCGCATGTTTTTTTCCTCAACTCTTTGCTGTCTATGGATGAGTTGGTTACATATGTGTATATATGTGTGTGTGCACTTTTTTCCTTCTGGATGGATTCTATCATTTGGTTACGGCTTTTTTGGCATGTGTGGGGATTTTGATTCAAAGTTGCTAAAGGAAAAGGGACTCCTACCGGAACTCAGCCTTGAAGTAGATAACATTGTTTGCGCATTGGATCGTGATCTTCAAGGAGTAGCTGCAATAGTTGCTACTAAACTCAGAGAGAAAGGCCAAAGTGTTGATTTAGTCTTGGAGAGCAGACCACTTAAATGGTACTAATACGAACTATGTCCTTTAAGATAGTTAACTTTGACAGTGTTGAACGATTTCTTTCATGTTTTGACATATGAGTAATTGCCATTGTGATTTCATTTTCCTTTAGGGTGTTCAAACGAGCGGCACGGACAAATGCACAAAGATTAATATTGGTAGGGAATACTGAGTGGCAGAAGGGTATGGTTGTCGTAAAAGTCCTTTCATCCGGTGAACAAAATGAGATTAAGCTAGATGAACTAGAGTGAAAAGTACTTCTTTGGCAGTACTTTTGATGATGCTCATCCTCTATGGACATGTCTCATTTTTTGTCGATTCGGCTAATTCTCTCCTTTATGGCATAATATTGTTCATGATATGTTGTAACATTGAGATTTGAATAATATTAGTAAGCATTTGGAACTTGTTTTTCGACTATCCGGGTACATTTGCAGAACGGGCATTTGGATGCCACCTTGCTTGGGTAAATTATTGAAGCGGTCACTTTCGTTTTTGTTTTTTAAGAAGAATTCAATCATTCAATACCAACAGCGTCAAGAAGAACATTTTTAATACAATTACAATTAGGTTCATCAAAATAAACCAGAACGGATTGGTTCTCGATAAGATCCATTGCGCAAGTGAATGCGTGACTCGATTTGCTAACTGGTTAGTGTGGACTTTAAGCTCAGGGTGGCTGTAGTACGAATCACGTTGAAAATCAATCCAATCACCAAGATGTCTTCTTGGGGGTTAGAGAGCATGTTAACACTTGAGATGACATCACCTTCGACAATCAACCGATCTCATCCATGTTCAAAAGCCATTTGTATTCTGAAGACACCAAATCTTGACCAACTAATGTTACTATTTGAAAATTATATTATATAATAATATTTACATTCATTTTTTGTTTTTATAGGGCCCAGGAATAAATAAACGTTGTAGCCCAACAACAGGTAGCCCAAGTACAAACCAGCAGACCCAACACACGCAACCCACTGAACCTAGGGTTTCCAGAACCCTAGTGAGACTGTCATCTAGCGCCGCAATGAGGGAAACTCGTCCCAGCAGAGGACTCCTCGCCATGTAGTCCCCATTGTGCACGCCTCCCCAACAACCCGAGTTTTCCGGCGCAAGGAAATCACACGAAGCCAACATTCAACAACAAGCAAAGCGGCTTATTAGTTTAGAACTTCAACAAGCAAAGCGGCTTATTAGTTTAGAACTTCAACAACCAAACCGAGTTTTACTCGAATTAGAACTCTAAAAATAGGCTTGTGTTTCTATTACAAATAAATGTAACACACTATCACGAGAACACACAATATATTACCACAGTGATTTCATACGAAATACGCACAAAAACACGAAAGAAATACCAAAAAATCCGAGGGATTTCGCGATTTTGGAGCACTTTGTTGTAAACATTTCAAGAGAAATAGAAAAGGTATCGATTTCTTTTACCTTGTTCATCCATCTGTAGCCCTTGCATGTTGATATTTCCTCGAGATTTGGCTTAAAAACAATAAAAAACGAAAGGCCGAGGACCTGGGGAGGGGCTATTCGAAAAGATCTTGCTAGATCTACCCTCCCGAGGCCATTTTCTTTAAAGAGAGCCACTGTTTTTTCTGGAAAACGAAACCTTAGTTCTTCTTGGTTGAAGAACATTTGAGAAAATCAGAGAATGGGGAGGGGTTTCATGAGTGAAAAAGAGGAAATGAAACATTCAGCCAAAATGTTGGCTTATATGCATGACCCATGGGTCATTGGCAGGTCGCATGTAAACCCGCTTCTCACCCTGGACCCGCGTGTTTTCTAAACAAGAAGGGTAAACTCGCTTTTGATCCCCGTAATTTTAAAGACCTCTATTTTAGCCACAAAACAACTTTAATCCCAAAACAACTTTAATCCCCCCAATTGTTTCAAAATTTGGCCCCAATTTTTATCTTTTCTTTCATAGCATCCCTTATTTATTATATACATATTTTTATTTATTTCTTTTTATTAATTCGTATTATTAAATATATATATATATATTAATTATATTTTTTAATATTTTGTATATACCTTGTTTAAAGTTATTATATATATATATATATATATTTATAACTATTATTATTATTTTACTATTAACGTATATAAATATATTTTTATTTTTTTTCTCTTTTGTTACTATTATTATCATTACATGTATATTCTTTTTTATTTATTTTATTTTATTTTTTTTTCTATTTTTTTTTCTTTTATTACTATTAACATATGTATATATATATATATATATATATTTAATTATATTTTTATATTTATTTTTTATACTTCTTTAATTTTGGTTTTTATTTATTTATATTATATTGTTATTATTATTATTATTTTACTTTATTAAATTGTTTTTTCATTATTCTATTTATTATATATATATATATATATTATCATAATATTTTTGTTTATTTATATTTACTATATTATAAGTATACACCACACTCATTTATTAACTAGGGCCCCACCCCTTATCATTTTTTTCTTTCCTGTCATTTATACTTCATCAAACCTTGACTTTCTTTTTTTACTTTTTCGGTGTAATTGTCTTTTTTACTATTTATTATCATTATTATTATTTTTACTTAATAATTATATGTTTTTATTTCTTTTTTAGTTTTTCATCATTTTTTTTATTTTTTCCATTTTATTTTCTTTATTTTATTTACTTTTATTTCTTTTTTCCTCTAACGCGTTCCTCGACTTTTTAAGGGTACACTTTCAAATTGATCGGAGGTAAGTAATTTTGGATCGTTATTTTACCTTTTAAGTTAAATTTACAATTTTCTTACTTAATGACAACTGGAAATTACGTAGTACCGAAAGGGCAGTTCAAGGGTGCTAACCCTTCCTTGACTGTAACTGACTCCCGAATCCGACAAATCACTGGTAAGACGCAGATCATGTAAGAAATAAGGTATCCGATCAGCCTATTTTTAATAAAATAAATTATCGGTGGTGATTCCTAACCTATTTTCTTAAGTCGATGCCCAATTCGGGGCCTAACCGAAAGACGGTTCCGACAGCTTGGCGACTCCACTGGGGGGCACAGGTAAGTGAGTTAGGCTAAGGTAATTTCCAGTTGTCTTTTTAACGAAAAAGGTAAGTTTAAATTTTAAGATAACATTTTGATCATTCTTACTTACTTTTGATTATATTTTCAAGTAAATAGTTGTACTAATCATTTTCTAATGATTTCAGCCTTCAAAGTTTTTTCACTTAAAGCTCTAAACCCGAGCTCTGAACCTGTTTTAAGTGGGGGTGAAAGCGACGCCTTCGTGTGAATTTATTCACCGTATGGGCCTAGTAAGTAGCCTTCGGCATTCATATACCTTATGCATTCGTGTGAATTTATTCTCTGTATGGCCATAAGGGAATGTGTCCTCTTGAGTTTAACTTAGTCCACACAAGCATGTGATGAGATTAGGACTAGCAAGCCCAAGGGGCACCTGCAAGGAGAACTCGAGTACCGTTTTTTAGAACCTAAACCGGGAGACTATGGAGAAATAAAGCCTACCCCGAAACTCCATTTCAAACCCTAAGATATTTTTACCCTAACCATGTTTTTTTCCTTCTTTCTCTTCTTATTTTTCTTTCGTCATTATTTATTTATTTATTTATTTTTATTTTACTGACTTGTTTGCCATTGTGTTTGTTTTTTAGCATTTGCATTATTACAAGAGGTTATTGATCCTTAAAAAGCGTTTGTTACACATAAAATAATATGAATTAATGGACAAAGCTGCTGTAATACAAGAGATTGAAAACCCCGAGGTACGACTATGGTCCGAGAAGACTCAGAAGGAAAAGGGAGACAGTCTTCAAGGAAGTTATGTGTCAGAGCTGGTTAACTACGCCTCTATCAGCCTAAAGCATAACAATGTGCAAGAGCTTCGAGACATCTGGGATAGTTGGAAGAATGATCGGAAATAGAAGTTCAGCCAACGATACGGTGGCATTTCACTTTTACTTCATATTAAGATTGATGAGCCCTTAATTAGAGCCTTGGTTCAATTCTGGAACCCGGGATACAGTTGTTTCACTTTTAACCGGGAGGACATGGTGCCCACTATCGATGAGTACACTACACTACTGCATTGTGAAAACATCAAACTGGAGTAAGCCTACATTAAACACATTAAAAGTTAGTCTTTCAAGAATACACTGGCTAAAGTTGCAGGCGTAGACGAGAAATGGGTAATTGACCGGACTCAGCGCAGAGGGAACGAGGAAGGAATTGAATGGATCCACATAAAGCAACTAATGAAAAACCACCCTGATGAGTGGAAGACTATAGACTTGTTTGCACTGGGTCTGTACGGTTTGATTATCTTTCCGAAGGCTTTGGGGTGCATTGACGCAGCCGTAGTGGAGCTATTTGAACAACTTCCAAAATGAGTTAACCCAGTATCGACCATCTTAGCTGAGACCTTTCGATCTCTCAACCATTGTCGAAGAACTGGCGGATGAAGGTTCATTGGGTGTGTTAAGCTCCTTTAGGTCTAGATTCACAGTCACTTATGGAAGACTAATGGGGTTGCCTACCATCGATTCAACACTACCTATTCACCTTTAGGAGAATTCATAACTAGGAAATGACATAAAGATGCTTCAAAGGAAAAGTGGATGAAAGTCTTTACACATCTTCAGGATCGGGATATTACCTGGAGAGCCCCATGGTTGTTCCTCGATGATGTTCTTTTCCGATGTGGGGATTCTAACACTATGACCTTACTTGGACTTTGGGGTGCAGTTGGGTATGCTCCGTTGTTAGCACTTAGACAGTATGGGGCACGTCAGTTTTTCCCAGCAACAAGTGGACTAACTAGATCAGAGTTTGTGTATCATGGTGACAACTATAAGAAGATGATCAAGGAAGCGACTGATTCATAGAAGAAAGTATTCCGGATGGATGTTGTAGCTGCCGGAGACATGCTTACTCCGGATTATGTGGAGTGGCGAAGATTGAGAAAAAATGACAACATCCCGGTGCCAGATTGTGAAGACACCCGGACCATGGAAGAACATCTCATGCCTGTCCCTTCTGAACTTGAGATAGCCAAGGCAGAGTTTGAAGCTGTGAATAACGAGCTAAAGCAGAGGGTTAAGGAACTTGAAGCTGAACGTTATCAGTGGAAGCTAGATGTCGACTATCAGAAAGATAAAGCAGATAAACTGGAAAGAGAACATAAAAGAGTCCATTTTGAGCTCGAAGATTTGAGAAAATGGTATCAAGATAAAGTCAAGGATAACTCTGTAACAACCCGAAAATTTGAAAATATTATTTAAATGAAATTTAAGGTTTTAATTTTTATAAATTGGTAAATTTTGGGGATTAAATTGAAAGTTTTTAAAACTTGTAGCAT